GCCCCAAATAGTTGGTGGCTGAATTGCAGATGCATCAGTCATAAAAATCTGCAAAACTATTTAATGCGCCAAAGGGAACCATTTCAAAAGTCATGACGGCATGTGCCAATAACTGACAAACCGCACTGGCAAAACGGGAACAAGTCAAAACCCACTGACAGGGAGAGTTTCCCACCACAAGAGTATGGATCAATAACCAGATGCTGTGGGAGGGGCAACAATGTATCCCTCAGATCTTCCTACATGTAGATGGGTGTACATTTGAAGAAATGTAGGCCCTCAGCTCAGAGTGGGAAGGACCTTTATGGTACGGAAAGCCATTTTGTGGAAGTCGCAAAGGTTTCCATAGTCACCTCAAACAACAGATCTAAACATCAGTGAACCTTCTGCTCTGTAGCGTGCAGTGACAAGCAGGTCTCCACCTCAAAGAACTGGACACTCTTCTTCAGGGCCAGGCAATTCCATAGGCGACATAGGCGGCCGCCTAGGGGACCCACTTCTGAGGGGGGTGCGAACTTGCACGTGGCCCGTACCGTGAAATTAGCTTGATGTTACAAGGACTGTACACCTCTCCAATGCAACATGGGACACCAACTTGTCAGCCAATTTCACTGTGTGTTACACTGGGGGCGCCCTGCAGTTGCAGTATGGGGGCAGGGGAATGGGGACAAGGGCGCTGTTAGGTTAACAGGGAGAGGAAGAAGAGCAACATTTCAAAATGAGCAAGGTTTGGTAATAGGGACATCAAATGATTAGTCTTTTTGAATCGTAATTAATGGCATGCAAACCCGTGTTGCAGTCTTGTCACTCTTATCACTGCACATTTGCTTTGGCCTCGGCTGAAGCAGGCGGGGGAGGGAGGGATGGGGGGGGGGGGGGGGGCAGCGCCGCCGGTGATGTTTGCCTCGGCTGCCATATGGGCTCCCATCAGCCCTGCCTTTGCTGCTGCTTCACCGCCCAGCAATCCAAGGCCTGTAGCTGTTCTGAAGGCAAAGCGTGGACATATTCCTTATTTAGTCCTTCATATGAATATTTTTCCCCATTTTATCTACCTCTGTGTATAGATATAATCCTATAATAAGATGTAATTTTATTACTAAGTAATGAATATTTTCCATGCCATCTTTATTAGACCAATAACAGTACTTTTATCAGATTTAGCATGCAATTAATGTATCTATTAACTGTATTCACATTTCTTTAGTTTGCGTTTTTCCACAATGCATATATTAATTGTACTTTTATTTATCTAAATACTGTAAAGGCAAATTCTTTTTGACTGGTTAAACTGGTACATAAGACGTGTGCCGCATATTTAAATCTTGTTTAAGGAAAAAATTAAACAAATTTGGGTTACAAAACAAAAGAAAAATGTGTGTAATTCATTTTAGTGCTATATTTTGGTTAGACGAATGTGGGTCCGTTATCAGGGGAAATAATTAGACACCTAAGCTTTCCTGTTAAATGTATGTTTGCGCAGAGCCACTTGCATAATAAGTCCTCCATAGCTGTAAATTGTGGGAGATTAATGTACATTACAAAATTATATCTTGGGAAGGAAGAATCCGTACCTAATAGCCGGAATTCCTGTTCCGTTCGTCACATGGAGATATATAACAATGTGCTATTCATAAAACATCTGTTTACGAAACGCAGATGAATGAGTTGAGTGTTTCTATCATTACCGTGTATTTGATAATTACACGCAACAACATATACATATACAAGGAAGCAATTAATAATCAAGCACTTTCTTATACGTTCTTTGATGATGGGAGATTTGTGGTGTTAAAGTTATTTAATTCAGGGTAAGGTTGTGTTTAACGTTTTCTTATATACTGTCCCTTTGCATAGAGGGTTTTCAGATTGTTAACCGCTACAATCATTATCATTATTTTTTCGATTATTTCCGTGAGCATTTTGAAATTGTGTATTTTAGATCTGGCTTGTTATTGCTCTTACTATAACTCTACGGGCCAGGTTTTATTCCCCCTTCCCCCTTTTCTGACTTCCTACTTATTGTTTACCTAATGTTATTTCCTTTAAGGAACTCTCGGTCTTAGACTCCATCCTCTCTGAGGATAATTACTGGAAACCGAATGCAGGCGTAGAAGAGGCTCTTATAACGGGCCGAGGGCATAGAAAACGATTGGATGCGAGGATGGAGAGGGCGCCTCCTATTGGCGGAATCATAGGTCCGTCTGGGGAAGGACGCCGCCCCTTTGAGTTTGAAACTTTTAGCGAGGAGGGGGTCCAGTTACAAGCGCCTGTAAGCGATCCGAGACGGCGGGCGGCGAAGGGGGAACGAGGGAGAAGCGGCGGGGGTGAGCGGGGAGACAGCGGGAGAAAAGGGCTTAAATTATTTACACAGCCCTGGTTACCTGATACTGACAACTGCAACGTCGAATAATTAGAGAAAGACCGCAACCGTGAGAGAGCAAAGTCGGCGGAGGCGCTGCGGTCGCTGTAACAATGAAGGTTCGGGATTTATCTGGCTTTTCAGTTTTATAGACGCTGCACCGCTGGAGCGCGGCTCGCCCCCCCCCATCAAACCCGGGTCCGGATCGAGCAACAGGCGGAAAGGTAAGAGCAGCGGGGTCGCTCCGGCAGCCGGGAGGCGTTCTGTGTGGGCGAAGGGACAGTGCGGAGGGCAGGGCGCCGGCTTTGCGTGCGAGTCCCCGCGCTGCGGATGTGCGGCGACCGGCCGATGGGCATCGCTGTGTGCTGGCCCACGGAGCTCCGTAATCTCACCGCCCGGCTTTCAGCCCTCGGCCCGGGTTTATTCCCATTATTGTTGTTGTTTTTTGCTTGTTATTTCAAGTATGGTAACTACATAGTTTGATTGCTTTTTCAGTTTCATTATATGAAAACACCTTGAGCTGCATTGGGGGTTAGGCGCTGTCACAGTACCGGTACCAGATAGCGCTGCCTGGCCGGATGGGCATCTGTCCGCCCCGTACTGCGCTTTTCCACAGCTGTCTTTTAAAAGCACCTAACTCCGCGTTTACTACTTAACTAATTTCAAGACTTTGAACAAATATTACATTATTTAGGATTATAATAATTTTTGTTGTTGTGATTATTATTATTATTATTATTATTATTATTATTGTGCATTTATTTTAGCCTGCACTCGTTTTTCAGAATGCTGACGTATTGTTATTGGGAAGTGGAATAGTTGTTTCAAATAACAGTATAACCGTTTTGCCTTTAGTCCTCTTACATCAAGCGTAAAACGCGTGTTTATTATTGAATGATTAATTGCATGTTAAATACTTTAGTATTTTCGACAGGAGCCTATGCCTTCTGCATCGTCGAAATGAAGAGATTTCTGAATTTTTTTTTGTCTTACTCGCAAATGGGACCGAACTGCGCTCCTCCGTTCTTTTTCGCCATTGACAGGACGTGTCTTTTTAACTTACTTACAAAATCGCGCTAATTTGGTCAGCATCCCCTGTCGCCCTTTGGGGTGATACGGGAAACCTTGGCTTTATACAGCAACCCTTTACTGCTCAGTATCAGTATGAGTTTCGTGGTATGTTAAGTAGTACAATGACTATCGAAAGAGCTGTTGCTATACAACCAGAAACAGCACCCCGCGAACAAAATCGAGTATCTGAAAAACAACATGCGGAATATTATTGTGCGCTTTTGCTTTCTGGCCCTTTTGTGTGTTTTACACGCAGTGACTCATTTACAGACTGCAAAGTTCACGCGGGACGGCCGCTTCGCCGTTGCCGTGGTAACGCGCGCCGCCCGCTAGCGCTGGGAGCCCCGCAGTAAACACGTTAGGAAGGTCAGCAGACCCGCTGATTGCTGCACAAGAATGTGGCCGCCAGCAACCGTTATTTTACTCCGTATTTCCTTATAAGAGTGGCAGTCTTGCTCTAGTCTACTTATATTTCCTTTTTTTTGCCTTGTCCCCAATACAGCTTGTAATAGGCTTTAAATACTCCGATGACCTTATACTGGATAAGTGGTTAGAGGATGGATTAATGCGTGATGATGGTAATAATCATCACCATAACTTAATAATAAATAATAATAATAATGTGTGAACTCAGGAACTTAAGAAAATCTTGGATATACAGAGCACGTTCTTTGATGATGGAGATTTGTGGTGTTAAAGTTATTTAATTCAGGGTAAGGTTGTATTTAACGTTTTCTTATATACTGTTCCTTTGCATAGAGGGTTTTCAGATTGTTAACCACTACAATCATCATCATTAATATTATTATTGTGGAAACAACCGTCTTGGGTCCTGACATCCTGCGTTTGTTCAGCTGGAATGTGTCGTTCGTGTCCTGCCGTATCCGCTTGCATTCTTTTCATTTCTCCTGTTTGTACATTGTCTATAACAATTGCTCCAGCTGTTCTGAAAATCCATGTCCTTTTTGAATAAAGCTTTGTTAGTTTTTTTCCCATCTAAAATGTTGACTGGCATTTTCCCACCTGTTTTTATATTTGGAAAAATTGTGAATCTGTGACCTGAATTTAACGGCACGGTGAGTATTAGGAAATCTAAACAGGTACTTCAAATTGCTCTCTTCCAAAGGCTGTTGCCTGCGAGTGGAATTCACTTTGCTTTGGCAGAAATTCTGCATAAGCACACCGCTGTACAGAGTGCTGGGTCGCATGTGCCGTTCACAGCAATGTAAGGGTGAGCTAACACCTTCACCTCGTCCTGTCACCATGCTGTCCAGCTCCATGGGATGGGACAAGGAGGCGAACAGCTACTACAACTGCTGATGTCATCCGTCTTGTGCTCCAGGTCAAATTACAGCCCAGCACCTTGTTTGTGTTGTCATAATGAAGTATAGATAAATGTTATGTGTGCTCTTATAATGAAAGACTGTGTACTCAGCCATTTATGAGGTATTAACCAAATAGATGTGTAAGGCACTGCTCTGCTGTGCTTTACTGCTGTACTAAATTGTAATTCTTTAGTCAGTGAATTTGCATTACAACAACAAAAAGCGAACACCCTAGCTCCTAGGAAACAGTAAACGCTGCGAGGTTGTGAACAAGACACTCTACTCTTTGCAGAACATTTTAATTGTAGTTTATGGTAGAGACATATGTAGTCTTTAGACTGCAGCAGAACATGACACTCTAGCCTGAAGAATCGGCTCGTTAGTTTGTGATTGATAATAATGAGGGATTGTGCGGTTTTAAAGTGAAAGCAGCACTTGGCAGATAAGGCAAGATACCTATAGGAATGCAGGAGGGTATGTGGAAACAGCAAGCCAGAGAGCCATGTGAAGTGAGGTCACGAGGCCGGTATGGACTCTGGTCATTTCATCAGGTGCCCCCAGCTGGGCCTGGTGGGTCCAATTTTGCCTTCAGAACCACTTAAAGGTAGAATGAGTTGTACTCTCCTGTTCCCTTCTATTGTACTAAGCTGTGACACACCACAGCATGACAATGAAATGTGTCCTCTGCATGTAACACATATGTGACATTATGACATAGTAGAGGGTGGCCATTTAGCTGCTCAGGCAGCCGGGCATAGGGTTAGTACCTTGCTGGTCAGGGATTTGAACCAGCAACCTTTCACTCACAAGCACTCTTCCATAACTATTAGGCCTCCACTGCCACATAACTGCTGTCATGCTTATTTGTGACCTTCCTGTTAGCTTAGAGAGAGGCCATTCTCCTCTGACCTCTTTCATGAACAGGGTGTGTTTGCTCAAAAAAAATGCCACTGACTAGATATTACTTGTTGCAGACATCGTTCTTCGTAAGGTCACTGCAGTCTGTGAAAATCCCAGGAGGGGGGCTTGTTTCTGAGATGCTGGCCTCCCCAAGCACGGCACCAACAACCACATCACATCCAGAATCACTTTGATCGGACTTTTGACTGAATCTGCATACTAGCCCTGTGATAGGAGCAGCCTGTTTGCATTAGCATGCAAGTATATCTAATGAATTGGTTATTGAATATAAGTAAAACCATAAAAGTAGGAAGGGAACGACTGAGTGGACGGCAGAAAGCATCGGGTTCGAACTAGGGTTAGGGTTGGGAAAAATGGGAACAAAGCACATGAATTCAGCACAATCATTTTATATCAGGTGGAGTGGATGCATTTGCTGTTTACAAAAACCTAAAAAGTATACTCTGCCATTCCAGAAATAGGATTCTTTGGTGTATAACAAAGAACAAAGCTGAATTGAGACCTGGAATTTTAAATATTAGGTCACATGACTCTGCTCATCCAATAGAAACACGGTAAAAGCATAAATCAGGTGCGGCATATTGATGCATGTGTTTTGTGGTATAAAAGCTCCATCAACCTGTCTTTCCAATACACTGCGTCGTCGGATGGCGTGAAACAGGCTGGTAGAATTTTATATAATTGACACGTATGCATAATCTAACTCAGTGAGAAGCATAAAAATGTTCTCCTTAAGAGTCACACCAAGGCAGAACAAGGGGTCACACATTTTTTTTTTTTAGAATGATTTTACTTTATACAAGAAATAATTAATCTTTTAAGGAGTCCATTACAGACAATGCTAGTGAAAGGTTCTGTTAAGTATTTTTACTTTTAACTAGATGACAAACTATAAGAGGCTGCAGGGTGAACCTTGGAGAGAAAGGCGGGAGAGATTTCCAGGTGCAGCCACTCACTGGCTTCCTCACCTGCAGCAATTTGTGTGAATAAGCTGCCTTCTCCGGCATTGCAGAAGGTTTGTCGCTCTGAGCAAACGGGCCGCGGCAGCTTTTCCCTTTTTCACGCGGCATGTTTTTCTGAGCATGGAGGAGGAGGCTACGTTAGATATCCTGGAGGGTGAGTGATTAGCAGAAGATTCCGGAATAATAGGCGGCTGGTTATTATATCCCCAGTGTGTCTGTGCACTTGTATGTTGGTTTTTAAGATCTTACCCTGTGGCTCTTTGTTTGATTGTATGCAAATGTTACGATTTAATTCTTCTTCAGTCTATTCATTCATTTCTATTCATTTGTAGACTTTTTGCTTAAAAAAAAACTGGCTAAATTCTGATTATTGGCCCAGGCTTTGCCAAGGTGTGGCATAGGGACAACAGGCCTTTAACATGTACACCAAAGAGCTGTGTGCTGTTACTCCATGAAAGACACTATTTGCTTTATGTTCACACATGAATCCCAATTTGTACCCTACATTTTAAAATAGAAATAAGTGGAAAATAATTTTTTGATTAGGGTGTGAGGAATTTGTGTCATTCATTGGCTTCGTGTGAATGTACACTCCTGAGTATACAGCAGATCTTCATCAGGAAGTCTTTTGACTTAAGCAAGATAAATATAGACTTTATGTTGGAGTATTACTCGTGAGTTTTCTTTGACAGGTCCTTGACGCGAGTGGGATTAATGAGTCCCTAAAATTAAACTCAACCACACCGAACAAAAAAAACTTTATTTTAAATGCACACAATTGTTATGGCTTGGTATTTTTGTGGGTGCTGGTCTTGATTTATAATTAAAATATTCAATAAATGCAGTACGACTTTAAAAAGGTTTGGAGGCTTTAATGGGGAAGCACACTTACTACTGTCAGCAGTGTCAAGGAACACCCTCGTGTTCAGAAAACTGCAGTAAGAAATAGCTTGTATTGGGGAAAAAAAAGCCAACTTTTCAATTTCTGCTTTCTACAGAGTACAATGCCTTTTTGTTTAGTGTAATAAGGTTTTTTCCCCAAGTTTTAAGAGCGGAAACTTGTTTTATAAAGGTCATTTGTTGTAGGGACTCTGACCTTAAGCTGTTTTTTTGGTCTCATGATAGTCAGCTGTTTTACTGTCTCTTCTGGCTTGAACATGAAGATATATTTGTACACGTCCCAGACTGCTCTTTTACGTATGGAAAGCTGAGTAATTTAATTTTAAACACTCATATATATTGTGTAGCCATTCATTAAGGTATTACCATTATATTTATTACCAAACCAGAGGAGTACAAATACTTTTTTTTCCTTCATTGAGTTAATTGTCCCATATATCAGTGCCTCATATATTTATAAATAGTTGCAGCTTAATTTGAGGAGGAGCAGTGTGTAAGCAGAGGGTTTGGCTGTACAGCTGCTTCAGACCGTTCACTGCCTTCTTTTTTCTTTCTAGATACCATGGACTCCTTCAGCACTAAGAACCTGGCCCTCCAGGCCCAGAAGAAGCTGATGAGCAAGATGGCTACAAAAACCATGGCCAACATGTTCATCGATGACACCAGCAGTGAGGTGTTGGATGAGCTTTACCGCGTGACCAAGGAGTATACTCGCAATCGAAAGGAGGCCCAGAAGATCATCAAGAACCTCATCAAGATGGTGGTGAAACTGGGCGTGCTTTACCGCAACAACCAGTTCAACAGTGAGGAGTTAGTGCTGGTGGAAAATTTCCGCAAGAAGGTCCATACTCTGGCCATGACTGCAGTCAGCTTCCACCAGGTTGAATTCACCTTTGACCGACGGGTCATGAGCAATATTCTTAACGAGTGTCGCGAGCTACTGCACCAAGCCATCAACCGCCACCTCACGGCGAAGTCTCACTCCCGTGTCAACCACGTGTTCAACCACTTTGCCGACTGTGATTTCCTGGCCGCACTGTATGGTCCGTCGGAGATCTACCGTCCACACTTGCAAAAAATCTGTGATGGCGTTAGCAAGCTACTTGACGAAGGCAGCCTTTGACCCCTGGACATCTGTGCTTCCACTTCTCTTTTAATAAATGTCTGTGGACGTTTTCATGTTTTGTTTTTGTTGTTTGCTCCTCAAGTTACACTGTGTATAGAACCCATGCATACAAGTCTGGCCCAGAGGTTCATTTCCTCCTTGAATATGAGAACTAAATACTTGTTGGATAAATGTAAAATATCAAGGTTCAGAGCATGGTTTTCAAAATTCTTACATCCTCTTCTCTCTGGAGCTGTTTCACAAGACTACTTTCCTATTCTGCTGTTAAGTTTGTTCACTCCCGTTGAACTGAGATGGTCACTGTAGAGGTGAAGTGTTCTAGCTGACAGGCTGTGTTGTGTAATAAATCTCATGAAGGTTTTTATATGTTCAGTGAACCATTTTCACTGCGAAAGATCTCAGAGAACCTTTTTTCTGAATGTTAATTTTTCTGAGTGTTGGAGAGTCAGACCGGAAGACTGGTCACTATGAAAAGGGAAGCACCAGAGATGTTCTGTTTGCAGGGGCTGGAAATGCTGTGTTCAATGCAAGATAAGCCGTCTGTGAATTGCTCAAGCAAGTTTTAATGGAGAAGTTCAAAAGCAGTTTTATCTGGTTCATCCTTTTGCTGTTTCTGTTGAGATTGTCAGCCCCCCCCCATCTCAAGCTGTGTCCTACCAATTCAACCCCTCCTCCACTGCTCAATGTGACCAAGGAGAATGATGGTAAATGTTCTCCTGACGTGATTCTTACTTCATACTTTAGCACACGAGTGATTTCTCCTCTTCTTAATGTAATTATTTGGTGTTTGTGAGCCTTTTTGACCAATTTCTTTGCTTTAGTGTAAGGAAGAAGCACGCACTTGCACACTTGAGCATGAAGTACTATGATATGCACATAATTCAGCTAGTTAAATGGACAACTGTTTTATGACAAGCCATGACCCCAGCCTTCAAACATGATATTTGGGGGTAATCTCTATGTTTCAAACCTTTATCCAAAATGTAGCGCCTGTGCTTAACCTCGTATTTTCATTGTACATACTACTTGACTGTTTCTGGACGCCTTTTACTAGCTGGGGGGCCATGGAAATGTGCGCTGATGCCGTGACAGTTTTAGAAAACGTGGCGTCTCAGGGTTTCTGCTTGTTGTTAGTCAACAGTTGCTCCATTGTGAATTTGGTCAACAAATTACATTTTCCACAACCTAATGTGCTGATGCTATTATTTTCCATGATATTATATATATTTTTGTATTCTTGTATGTCTTGTTTTGGTTCATTTAGACTTTCCTGGTTTTTCTGAACAAATATCTATAAATGGTGGTTTTAGTGCCTTTTGTGCCTTTTCTAATGGAAAAATATCTGAATGACTTATTTTTTAAGAAATAAATTGTTCATCTTTTCTGTAATGGCTCAGGGAACAGTGAATTTAAAAGCCGTGTTTAACGTCATTTGGACAGAGTACCTGCTTTGCACCCCCCCCCCCAACCCCCTTGCTTGTGTGTCTTATTTCACAGAGCTGCAGGGCTTTTCTGGTTTTACACGTTCTCTTACAGACTTTTTCTGGAGTTTCCAAAATTTGTACTTTAACAACATAATGGCCCATCAAGGAGGTTCGCCAGTCAGGGTTAAGCGCTGAGATCTGTGTGAAAGTTTTATTTTATCACGTTTCCGGCCAAACTTTCTTCCTGCTCCACATGAAGTGATGATTCTTTCAAGAACGTCAGCGATGGCATGATAATTAAATGGTTACAGAACAAAAGTGCAACATCACAAGGAATAATATTAACGTTTTAATGATTCATAAAAAGAGCTTTCAAGTGGGCAATTATTGTGGTTAATTGTAAAAGCACATATAAGTTGAAAGTGCTTGGCAAATGTGTCTCCATAGAAACATGGTTGTGAAAACAGCCAGTATTTCTAAATAGTCAAAAAATATCTGTAGCTGAAATTCTTTAGGAGGGAGATGTGCACCTTAAATAATCTCACGTAGTTTTAGTAGGACATCATAAAAACGCTGCTCTGCTCCTGCTTCGGTTATTTGTTTTAAACACATTTGTCTTTTGCCCGCTTTTGTATTTTTGGTGAAAAATAACAGCTGTCGTTCCTTTACTTGCAGACTTGCCTTCGCGACCTTGAATGCTTCGTTATTTTAGTCTATTTTGTTACATCATTTTCTCCTCGCAGTTTTGAAAGGAGTCACATCTAAGCCAGAATTTGGAAACTCGTGTTAGTAAATAAGTCCTAAAGGTTAATCAACAATAGTTTGTATTGGAATTGCTTTCAATTTAATCTGTTTTTTTTGTCTTTTATTTAAGTTTAATTTCTTTTATTTTATATCATGCCTTTAACTATATTGTTTAAGATTTGTAATTGCCCCGGAAGCATTCTTGGTACAAAATGCTCTATGGTTATGCATGGATATCTGGGATATGCTTTAATTTAAAAGCAACATTAAAATATAATTGACAATTTATTATTTTGCCTTGTTGCCTTGAATAACATTTTCCTATGTGTCTGTGTGTATCGATCAGAGGGATTGCATTAGTCTGTATTTTACTTACTTTGTATTAATTCTCCATTGTTTCATGCAAATACACTTTAGGATTCCAATTCAACATAAGGTTATCTTCAGTTTCCCCATCATGAAATTAACACAATGGTCTGGTATCGTATGTTATGTTCAGTGTTTCTGTCACGTTTCACAGACACAGGAATGCAGCCTTTGTGAGTTAGTAACATATAGCCAAGCTGCTCTCTGCATTTCTCTCTTTTGAGAACATGTGCCCGTTATAGGATTAACAATAAAGGAGTCGCACCACAGCATTTCCTATGCTGAGACAACTTATTAAAGCTTAGATTAAAACGTACTAGTGATAGATTTTGTTGCAGGTTCAGGAACAGGACTTGTGATAAAGCTTAAATTAAAAAGTACTAGTGATAGATTTTGTTGCAGGCTCAGGAACAGGACCAGGGTGAGCTTACTGATCTGTAAAAATCCAGCCGCATAAACTGGTAAACGTGCAATTTCAAGCTAAAACTGGCAGCAGAATTGGGATAAAGATGTATATAGAAAAGGTGGTGTTATACAAACAGACCTGCAGGTAAACAACACACGTGCGCATTATAATGGGGTCCGACACGACAACAAGTCTGTTATGAATGACTGCCTGAAAATGTGAATGGATCAACCCGCTACCATCCAGATTTACGCCTCATTTGGGGAACACTACTTGCCTTGGCAGAAATAATATAGTATTATGCTATTACTTGTATATTAATTAATTCATTAATTAATTAACTTAGTTACATACTGATCTCGTGTTAATACATCATTAATGAATCATAATGCATCTTTTATCTCAAGCAGCGGCTATATTTGTTCATGATTTGTACTTCAGTAGTAAGTTACCACTCAGTATTTGTGCCCCATCAAGTAGTGTTACTGTTATTTCAATTTTTACTCTTATTTAATGATGGATCCATAATGGTAGATATTCATCTGAATCTTTACACATTTTGTGGTACTTCAGCCTTGTCCCGTCATGGTCATTTTCAACTGGGTTTCTTTTGAATTTTCCGTACAGGGAAAACAAACAATTAGGAACAAGAAGACCTTCATACTTAGAGTACAAGCCTCAGTCTATACCCAGAAATCACTAACTCCATTTTCTCCTCCTTTCCCAGCAAACTGAGATAGTTAAATAGTATCATTGTCCATATCTAAAGCCAATGAGCTACCAAGTTCAGTTAGGTGGGTGTGGCCTAGTTTGGCCACTTGCCATGTATCTTATATTGATTTAAGTTGGGGGGGCCAGCTGCTATGAAATTAACCACGAGATAAGAGAAGAGAGACTATTGGCAATTTATACAAGAGGGTTAGGTTTAGGGTTAGGGTGGGTAAGAGTGAAAGCATGAAGCCTGTCAGCTGAGGTGTATCATTCTTCCCCAAATGCGTAACTGCGCTCTGGCTGTTTCGCTCTTAGCTGCAAACCCCGCCCCCTCCCCCCTGTCCCCCCTTCTGGAATCCCTGGCTGTGTTTAATTGGTGAGTGCTGATCCAGAACAGGCGTAATCAGAGCCGGGCCTCGGGCTCACGTAGAGACGTGGCATCTCCAGAGAGATGAAAAAGCCGCCGTCTTGACAGAAGGTAGACCTGGAGTTTTCTTCATTGCGAGAGTGACTTGGAGAGAGAACGGCAATGAGTAGGAGTGGGAGGAAGGAGCGAAAGACGGCAGACAGCAGCGCGCCAAAGCTGGGAGAGAGAGAGGGAGCGACAGGAAGCGTGCAAGAGCAATTTGGGCAGAAAAGCAGGGCGAGGGAGAGGAAGGCGGAGGTCTCACTGCAGGAGAGAGGGCAGCAGGGTGAAGAAGTGAGAGAGGCAGAGAAAACAAGAACAGGAACAGACTGGGAGAGGAAACTGGAGTCGGGGAGGGGGGGCGGAGGGGTTAAAGAAGCAGAAGAAAGTTTGAGTGAGGAACAGATGACAAAAGCGTGAATGGAGAGAGGGGCAGAACTTTAAGGAGTCGTCCTCTGTAGTGACTGAACTGAATCCAACATGTTCTCAGGCACCAAGGAGCTGGGGCAGCAGACAGAGTACTGGTCCCATAATGCACTGAGGCTCCACAAGGAGACGGCGTATGCGGGGCTGGGCAGCCAGACGGAAGACGACTCACCCCGGCTGGATGGCGGGAATGAAATGAGCCTCACACACCCGGAGGAAGTGCGGCGTGTTCTGGGATGGAAATGGACCAGAACCGACTATGAGGCACTGGATCGTCAGAGGCGGTTCCCTTTGTCCACGGAGAGGCAGTGTGCTCCGCCGGTCTGCAGTGGCCGGGGCTCGCTGAAGGAGCCCAACTTCAGAAGCTGGACCCATTCTACAGAAGCTGGCCTGAGGTGCAGTACGTCAGTGAAGGAAAGCTGCAGACAATGTGAGTGTGCAAGGCAACAAAACACGGCAGCACTGCACCCCTTCAGAAGGAAGTTTGTGCTGCCCCCAACAGCACTGTTTGTGGGTCAAGGACACTGCAGAGAGCCCACATATGTAGCTGAGAAACAGGTTTGGGGTGATACAAGAGCAGAGTGTAAAAGGGACGTTTTTGAAGCTCAGCCTGCATTTGAAGCAACTGACTTCTCACATAGATGTCGAGGTTCAGACTCGGCCTTTTCTCATGGCCAAGAACAGGCAGAAAATCCTCATGGCTTGGGAGGTGTGACTGGACCAAAAACGCAGCAGGAGAAGGTCTCGAGTAAGGAACCCAAACTGGGCCGGGCTCTCATCTGCTCGACCAAAGTCTGCCAGAGGCACCTGGGTCACACGGGTCTGCACAGCCTGTGTCTGTCAGATAACGGCACCAAGTTTGTTCAGAGCAAATCTGCCGGTGACACACAGATCCAGGGGGGAGCACTTTGGACTATGGGCCAGGCGTCAGTCCGCGACCGAATCCGACAGGTGGTGTCAGACCTGGAGGGGGTTCTGGGAGGCTTGAAACAAGTTCATCTTGAGATGAAGGAGGTAAGGAGGATTAAGCTTTTCTTTATTGCACTTTTTCTGTGATTATTTAGCATAAGTGTAGGTGTTACAGGGGTGTGACTTGGTGATTCTTGATTACTTATGAAAACATACATACTCATCACAATGCTATTTTAATGCTGCTCTTCATCTTAGAAGCATAAAACCAGCATGCCCACCCAATTTTTTTAAAACAAAATTAAAAACACATTTATAAGTCATTATTTTTTTTTGATAAACAAATATGGCCTGGTTTTCTATGTTAGTTTTCCAACACGTACAGAATAATTATCTGGTTTTCATTAAACGACTTGCGCAATCTCCATTATAAATGCTTGGCAGAGCCTAAAATAAAATGTTTCTCATATACTATGACTGTCTGGCAGCGAAAAGTCACATTTTAATGCGGGAAACAGAAGCTAATGGGCCCTGTTCACCAGTGGCGTGTGATGGTCAGGAACGATACTGCATGGAACTTCTTGTTTAATCCATTTACCAAAACAGATGCTGTAATTGTAGAACAGGGGCGTTCAAATCGCGGTCCTCAAGGCCTGAACCCTGCTGATTGTCCAGCCTTCCTTTACCTGTAAGCCAGGTGTGAAACCTCTGTGCCCAATGAGAATCAGTAATTAATTAACTAACTACCTGGAAGAACTGAAAACACGACCTGGATTTGGAATCGAGGTCCAGGCTTGAGGGGCCCTGGTGCTGAAACTGGGCTTTAATAATGTCTCTGTGTGGAAAAGCAAGTCTGTCTTCAGGTTCTGGTGAAAAGACATGAGATGTATGTGTCCGGGTTACATTTTGAGTTGAGAAATCACCTGCTGTAAAAGTACGGGGGGGGGGGGGCTTTGTTGAAGAGTTGGAGTTGGATTGTTCAACTGCTTGTTCAAAATGCATACACAGGTGGTGCAACAGATTGAGCTTCTGACCTCCAACATTGACCTTAAGGAAGAGGAGCCCAGCAGCACCAGCTCCAGCAACGTCACAGTGTCCAGTCAGAAGAAAGTCATTAATCTGGAACTGAAGACAAGCCCTGCCCCGGTCTCTCTTACAGACACTATTCATACAACCCCTCCCGCAATCAATCCAGCCGTCATCATAAATCAAGCAGTACTGCCATCGCCGTCCAAAGCTCCTCCCAAACATATGTCTGGTGTCTCTCTTGAAGAGGACCCTCAACTGGTGACCCCACACAGAGACAAAAAACATGAGCACTGGGGAGATGGACTGGGACCAGTGTTTCCTCTGCCCATGTCACAGAGTCAGCAGGAGGGGGGCAGACTTGTGCTTCCTAGGACTGTGTCTGTGAAGCAGAGGCCTCCAGCCTACCCGCACAACGGAACGCCCGGAGGAAAGAGTGCAGAGACCCATCCACCAGGAGTCCCCCCACATCTGGTTAAACATAGGCAGCTTTCTACCACTGTCTGAGTGGCCAGCAGTCAGAAGCCAGGCCACAGAGCCCCTGAGCAGACTGTCACAGAGGCCTTATCTACCGGAGGAGCAGCCAGTGAGTCTTAGCTGACAGGCAGCATAATGTGAGTATCGGTACACAGCCCTGCTCTGTGTGCCTCTAACACGGCCTATTAGCCAGACCGTTCAGAGGCCTGCTTCTTAGCCTCTAACACGGCCTATTAGCCAGACCGTTCAGAGGCCTGCTTCTTAGCCTCTAACACGGCCTATTAGCCAGACCGTTCAGAGGCCTGCTTCTTAGCCTCTAACACGGCCTAGTCGCTTACCATTAGCCGGACCGCACAGAGGCCTGCTTCTTAGCCTCTAACACGGCCTATTCGCTTACCATTAGCCAGATTGCCTGCTAGTACGGAAATGAGAACAGCGCCATAGCGTTGCCTCACCTGCCTCCGCATCACTGCTCTGATTAATGAAAGCCTTCAATGGAGCCCCAGCAGTGACTCGCCCTCAATGCCGACTACCTCCCTCACCTCCTGGGCACTCGCTAGCCACTCTGTTTAAGTGTCTGCACATCATATGGCGCAATTCCATATGGGCACTAAATGGTACCACAGGTTACATATATGCCGTATCGATTACAATTAAAATATTAACAGTAATATTTCTTTTTCTTTTATGAAATGAAACAACACCTGTGACAAAACAGGTGCGTGGCTAATTAAATAATAACTAAATAATAACTAAATAGTAACTAAATAGTAACTAAATAACTGAAACTGTAGCTTCTTGTCTGTCCAGGAAGAAGAAAATAAAAAGTGGAAGAATACACCAGAGGAACAAATTTGTCTTCCAGTAAAAGCAAATCAGAAATGAGTCATTAATAGATAAATCTGCAAAGGAAGATGTGAGTGAAGTTAGCAAATGTTCCGCAGACATGCTGAAGAAAGGGGTCTGTGGCAGATGATTGTACTCTAAAGCTTATGGATTTTATGCAAGTTGTTTTGGTCCATGAACTGAAAATGCTGTGAAAGCGGTTTCCTAAGAGGAGCTTGCAGGTTTTTATACATTATATAACACCATTATATGGGAAAAAAAAATATTCCAAGTTATGAATTACACTTGAAAATGAAGGATATTTATGTCCCTGTGAGTATGATATACCACCAATAAACACCACCAAAGTACATTGGGACTTTTTTTTTTTATTAAAAAAGTTTCATACTTAGAAGCTACTTGAAAATTAAGATTTAGAGGAATCAAATGCTCCAAAGATTATGCTGAAAGGAAGAAGCAAGCACTTTGGTGGGGGGAGACCCACAGAGCTCTCGATTTCGACTACCTCTTCTCACTCAAGGTCCTCTTACTTTAAATGTCAGCGCCGAGCACGACAGCCAGCTCTCTGTATGCTTAGAATGGTACCACGGCTTTCATATACATCCCACAATGATCTTGGGTTGAATGCATGTTAGCATAATATTTACGTTACGGACTTCGCCGCTCAGAATGACGAAACAGGTGTGGACCTGACCGCGCCGAAACGCCTCAGGTGTGGGCCTGACCGGCCCGGAACGCCTCAGGTGTGGGCCTGACCGGCCCGGAACGCCTCAGGTGTGGGCCTGACCGGCCCAGAACGCCGGCTTTGTCTTTTTCTGCATTGTTGGCTGTTTGTTTCCTAAAACTGTGCCCGGAATAACCTGGGAAGCAACACGGCTTGCAAATAATAGCTGCTGAATGGCAAGGCTGGTCGTCCAGATGCTCCGTGGTGAAATATGGCTGGTGGAAAAGGTGGAGAGAAAGGAGGGTTTGAACGTGTCCCGAGGAGCCTGTGGCCTCAGCATAAAGACCTGCTGTGCTGGAGGCAGCTGGCTGTGTCTGTGAACATTTATTTCTAAATAATCCCAGGAAGTGCAATAATATTTTTCTTCCCACACAGAAGATTCAGTGATTAGCTGGACCTAAAAACATAAGCTTATAAAAACATTTCAGGGAGTGTAACTAAAAGCAGTACATTACTTTGGTTAGTTTTGCTTCAAACAGCCATACAAATATGTATTTTTAATACTGTCATATCTTTGCTGAGGAATTTTCATTAGCATTTTAATTAAAATTTTACAAGTAAAAGAAAATGGATAAGTCACATACTGAAAAAATGTTCAGCATGAAAGACTGATATTATTAAAGGAATTTATCGCAGTTCGTTTGAGTCAGTTTTATTGCATATGCTAATATGGCGTTGGCATACTGTGACCATTGGTAAGCTGCTGTGGGGGAAGATGATTCCTATAGAGCTTTTTACTGGTTTCTGATGAACCAAGCATGTTATTTGGGCATTTTTACCATTTTTCATTTTTTTCACAATTCTTATTAGATTTGAGCCTATTTAATTCAGACAATCAAGACTAATTGATAAAGAGTTCAGTGGCAATGAAAACCTGTAAGTTCTATTCCTGTTTCCGATCTGTGGATAACTGCTTTGCAACAATTCTAATGCCCTTTTCTGGAAGTTTCTTTTTCTTACTGTATGTTTCAGAAAATGTAAACAAATTACCCTTTAAGGTCAAAAGTGTAATCTGTCATCTGACTTAAGCTAGTACAAAATGTAAATATTTACCAGAATTTATTTATGACGCTCTTCAGATCACATGAAGATTTTTAATGTACTGTATTTTATGCTCAAAAAATAGGAAATAATAAATATATAGAATGCAAAGTTTTTCAGAGATTCTTAGAAAAAACAAATGTCCAAGGTTTTCTATTGTCAAGAATGTCTTTTTAAAGTTGCATTTCTTCGTGTTTAGGAATAACAATATATCAGTGAAATGTTTACCTCTGATTTCTGCTACTTCTAACTTCTTACTTTATTAGTCAAATGGCCATGTGCCGTGTAGATTCCATGTAAACATCTGAAATAATATTATTACAAACATTTAGAAACATTTTTGCCCCAATGAATGGGGCACGTTGGATGACTTTAACTTATGATAGGCATAAGCTACTTTGTAAAAAAAATATGGAAAATATAAAAATAGACACCCCTGACATGGTGGCTAATTGGATTTTCAAATTGGACTGATGTTACACAAGTAGCGAGGTGACGGTGGGAGGCCAGCTGTGGAAATAATGGCATTTTTTAAATTGGTAACTGATGAATCCTTGGAAACCTGCACGTAACATCAAGGAGGGATTCTATGAAACTGGAAGCGTCTGACAATACATTGTGTGTCTGTGTGTGTGAGGGGGTTTGTATGATCTTCCTGTGTGTGTGTGTGTGTGGAATTTGCATGATCACCCCGTGTGTGTGTGGTTTGCTTGATCTCCCCATGCCTGTCCGTGTGGTTTGCTTGATCTCCCCATGTCTGTGCATGTGGTTTGCATGTCCTCCCCGTGTCTGTGCATGTGGTTTGCATGTCCTCCCCGTGTCTTTGCATGTGATTTGCATGTCCTCCCCGTGTCTTTGCGTGTGATTTGCATGTTCTCCCCGTGTCTTTGCGNTTTGCGTGTGATTTGCATGTTCTCCCCGTGTCTTTGCGCGTGGTTTGCATGTTCTCCCCGTGTCTTTGCGTGTGATTTGCATGTTCTCCCCGTGTATTTGCATGTGATTTGCATGTTCTCCCCATGTCTGTGTGTGTGGTTTCCTCCCACAGTCCAAAGACATATAGTTTGGCTGCTCGGTGCTTGTAAATTGCCAGTGGTGTGGGTGTGTGTGTGCCCTGTGATGGGCTGGTATCTGCTCCGTGATGTTTCTGCACTTTGTGCCATTTGCCACTTGGGCTCCAGTTTCTCCCACAACCCTATCCAGCATGAGATAGATGAAATGAGATGGATGGATAAGGAATGTATGTCACTATTTATTTTGCCAAACCTAAAAGCATAAATACCTCAGTTAGGATATGTGACTACAGGAAGGACTGATGGATGAAAGGGTAATTGGTTGCCCCCTCGTGGAAGCTGCATGCCCATTCATCATGGTGTGTAGAATCAACACTATTAAAACAAACCTCTTTTTCCATTTTAGTTCTCTGCTTATTTTTATTATATATTAATTTCAGTGAACTGTGATATTGTTTTAACTCCATTTTAACCCAGACACATTACATAACAGCAAACAATAATGGGAAGGAAACAGATTACACTCTGAATTTAATTACAATTATAATTGTAATTTGTGGATGGAAAAACAATGCATTTTAATAAAATGAAATTTTCGCATCTATTTGGGATTCCACAAAACCATTCAGTGTCTCTTTTGAAAGAAAACATCAAAGGTTTTAGGATTTGGGAAATTCTTTTAAGTTTAACCATATGGTATCGCACTGAATCACAGTGCAGGGGACACCCAGGACAGGACGCCAGTCCCTCACTGGGCGCAGTGCAGGGGACACCCAGGACAGGATGCCAGCCCCTCACTGGGCGCAGTGCAGGGGACACCCAGGACAGGATGCCAGTACCTCACAGGGCGCAGTGCAGGGGACACCCAGGACAAGATGCCAGTACCTCACTGCGCACACACTCGTATTTTCTCCACAAGCTGTTTGAGAGATGTTTCCTCAGAAAGACATACAGGATTTTTGGACCATCTGAGGAAATTGGAATTGTGTACCATTAAAAATTAAATCTGAGGATCGATGTGAGACTAATGTGTTAATGAGGCCTGATGTGATTTTGCTGGGAATGTAACTTCATAAAGCATGATCTTCCTCTTTGCGGCTGCACTTCCGCAAACTCATGAACTTTGTTCAAAATAAACCTGATTCATCCTCTTAGTGCTTTGTTAGTGTCTATCTAAAAAAAAAATCAAAATTCCAAAATAAACATCAAAACAGAAAAGAACAAACTATGCTTTCTCTTAGTCTTGTGTGTGTTTAGTCTGCTTAGTACTATGAGGCTTTCATGAGTACAGACTGTTTTGGTGGCGTTGCATACTTCTATAAGAGGGTTGAGGCATCCTGACAGTAAAACATAACATTAACCCAAAAGGAGGGGCTGCCTTCCCGAAAAACAACTGCGCAGCCATGAAGCGGCGCTGAGTCACTGCACTGTCTGCCTCACTGTGTGGTCTGATCTGACTCCTTCACAGCCGCAGCGCCGAGCCAGCCTTCTGCAAATAAAGCTGGAAGAAAACTAGGAAAAAGTAAGGAAGAAGCACAGGAGCTATTAAGGAACAAGGCAGGGGTGAAACATACAGAAACTTCAAAGGACTGCAAACTTTGTTTCTTGAGGAAATGTATAAAAAGTGCGCGTCTCTGATAGCTTAATGCTATATGGCACTGCAGCTGGGGGGGGGGGGGGCTTCACAGGAAGAACACGGGAATCTACAACTTCTGAGTGCATTTGTTAATTGACGGAGGTCACCGGTTCCTGGAAGAACAGAGGAGTGATTGTACGCTGTGACGATGGCTGTGTGTTCCCCTCTCTGCTCTCACGATGAAGACCACACCGTGTTTCACTAACTGGCTACGCAGAAATGAAGCAGACCTCCACAGCCCAGCCTTTTCCCCGCATTTGGGGTGTATCTGTCTTACAGTAACTGACAGGAAACACTGCAGTCTGTCAGTTTTAGAGCGATCGGCAAAAGGTCTCTTGGGACGGTGGGTTCTTTCCATCATCATGTCACTGAAATGTGACGCAGGGACCCTAACCCTGTCATTGTCACCAACACAGGAGGCCATCTTAAGCACAGGTGCCAGCGATGAACCCTAGGACTATGCCAGACAAATGGAACTTTCCAGACACACACATTTACGGGTGTCATTGGGGGAGGGGGTGAATATGGGGCCCCCACCACTAGACTTGCCGCTTTATCCCAGTCATTTACTGGAAAGGAAGTGGGGGGGGGGGGTTTTCCCCCAGGCCCAAAAATTCCCAGCTCAGCCCTGCACATTCTTATATGATGAATTTCATTCCAGATTACATTTAATGGGGTGTGTTCTTACAGTGTTTTTTGCTGTTTTGTATGGCTCTCTCGCCAGTTCCAGTTCGCAGTTGTTTCTGGTTACTGCTTGGCAGCTCAGTCTATAGCAGCACTTCTACCTAATTTGGCTTCTTGGCAGCTGGCTGTTCAGTAATGTTGTATCTGGCTCACTTGAGTGTCGCTTTGGACAAACACACATGTTCAATAAATACATATAGATGTGAATGCTAATATACACCGATCAGCCATAACTTTATAACCACATGCCTGATATTCTGTAGGTCCCCCTCATGCTGCCAAAACAGCTCTGGCCCGTCGAGGCCTGGACTCCACAAGACCTCTGAAGGTGTCCTGTGGTATCTGGCACCAAGGCGTTAGCAGCAGATCCGTTAAGTCCTGTAAGTGTTCAGGTGGGTCCTCCATGGATCGGACTTGTTTGTCCAGCACATCCCACAGATGCCTCATCTGACTGAGATCTGGGGAATTTGGGGACCAAGTCAACACCTCAAACTGTTCTTCATGCTCCTCAAACCATTCCTGAATAATTTTTGCAGTGTGGCAGGAAGAATTATCCTGCTGAAGAGGCCACTGCTATCGGGGAATCCCATTGCCATGAAGGGGTGTACTTGGTCTGCAGTAACGTTTAGGTAGGTGGCATGTAGCAGAGTTACACCCACATAAATGCCAGGACCCAAGGTCTCCCAGCAGAACATTGCCCAGAGCATCACACTGCCTCCGCCGGCTTGCCTTCTTCCCATAGTGCATCCTGGTGCCATCTCTTCCCCTGCTAAATGACACACACACACCCAACCGTCCACATGATGTAACAGGAAACGTGACTCCTCAGACCAGGACACCTTCTTCCATTGCTGTGCTCCAGTTCTGACACATGCCCATTGTAGGTACTTCTGGCGGTGGACGGGGCAGCCTGGGCACTCTGACTGGTCTGAGGCTACACAGCCCCATACGCAGCAAGCTGCACTGTGTGCTCTATCATGGCCAGCATTAACCTTTCCAACAGTATCTGCTGCAGTAGATCTCCTGTGGGATCAGACCAGATAGGCTGGCCTTCGCTCCCCACACACACCAGTGAGCCTTGGGCGCCCATGACCCCATCGCCGGTTCACTGGTTGACCTTCCTTGGACCACATTTTGGTTGGTACTGACCACTGCATACCAGGAACACCCCACAAGACCTGCCGCTTTGGGGATGCTCTGACCCAGTCGTCTGACCGTCACATAGTCTGGCTGGTGTATAATGAGCCAGAATAAGGAGTGTTCA